TTCCTGTTCTCTCAAACTATACTAACTCGCTCTTTTTCAAAACTTTCTGTAGAAATGTTTTACAAAACTAATCACAGGAGTTTTTATGTTTCCTTTCTTCTTCCATGACTTTACTGCATTTAATTTATTAAATGTTAGGGGTTAGAACATTTAGAAGTGCACTTAGAAGTTCCTTTGTCTGTTCAATCACCATGTTTGCAAGCAAAAAGAAAGTGCAGCTTCATGGCTGAAAGAAAAAAAACAACTAGAAGATGGTTAAAAACGCAGCATTCCAAAGTCAACAAGGGGTTAAAGGTAAGATTTACACTGGGGATTTTTCTGTAACATGCTCCTCCTTCCCTAACAGTGCTGCCAAAAATCATCTGACAGGAAACGTAAGATTAAGTTTGTCCTACCTAAGTGAACAAAGAGCGCTCAGAACAGGCAACTGGTTTACTGCAGAGAGGGAACTTTTCTAATCCTGATGGAATCTGCAGTGCCGCTCAGAAAATATCACTGAAAACGTTGTTTTCTTTACTCTAACTTCTTGTCTCTGGATCATCTCATTTTGGTCACACTGCAGATCTTGCTGCTTCTCCCATAAAGGTTAAGTTAAAGCTCCAAACATAATCATGTGGAAAATGGACATTATTGATTCCTATGGTCCATTGTTCCCCCATTCTAAGTCCCTGAAGTTCAAGTTCAATCTGGAATTACATCATGTCTGGTTTCTCCTGGTTACCAGACGGCTTGAGACGTGACCACAGCTACAGAAAAAACAAACAGCCTTCTTCACGCTTCGGCTCCCCTATCGATTCAAACATAAACTTTTTTTCTTTCTCTCAAGTATGCTTCAAGTATGGAGCATGGTTAATTTAGAGATTAAGTTCCAAATTAGATTATCTAATGGCATCTTAATGGATTGCTGACCCATTTCCTGTGGGATGGCAGCATGCAAGTCTGGCTGGAATACAATTAATTTCTTAGGAAGTGTTCTGAAGATGTTTGCCTAGATGGAAAGGAAACGTAATGTTCTGCACATCTTTCTTTATTACAGAGTTGGGGGAAACTATCAAAAATAGCAATTTAAATTGATAAAGACCAGAAATCCTTGATTTTTTTTTCCTGCCACAAATAGGCTTTTTCCACCAGGATCATTTCTCATTTCTTTTCTTCTTAATGGCAAAACTTAAGAGTTTGTACTTTTATCCAAAACAAATACGCAACATGAGGAAAAAAACCCATTCTTGGCCTAACAAGTGCCTGTATTATATAAATGTTTAACTTTCTAAATGCACCAAATAACTATAGGCACAATGTAATTTAATTGTTATGAGTTAGTATGTTCACTAGATTCTAATATACACAAAGGACTATGATATGGAAAAGATTCTAAGCAATTTCCACACTCCCTCTGACTTTCCCGCAAACTGGAGCTTATTACCTTCGACTGCCTTATCAGCATTATCATCATAGCCCCAGAGTGGTGCTAGGGGCAAAGAGTGCTGCTTAAAAAGTTGAACATTTTGAATACCCCTACAGCTAAAGCTGAAAAGGAAATTCAGCACTCTGAGAATAAAGCTCCCCTTAGGAGCTCCAGGAACAAACCAGCTGTTGTACTGTACTTATGTGTCAAGATAACAAACTGAAAGCAGGAAATGCTAACCTAGTGCATTTGCCTGGGTAGTGTAAATGTAATGTTGAAAACATTAAAGTAACAGTTAACCCTTAAAAGCAACACTGTAAGGTTTTTATTTTTTAAAAATAAATAAATAACAGTAATTGAGAATGTAAGGAAAATTAACAACAGCTGTGTTAAAATGTACATTTTGCTGCTAGCAGTTTGTTTTATTGTCTGTGAAAGATTTACTCAAAAATATTCAGATTTAGTATACAAGGGCCCAACCCTGAATCCCTTTGTAAGAAGTCCTATTGGTCACTGTAACAACCCACGTGAGTAATTAAGGACTGCAGAAGTTGGTCCTCAACCCAATGAGTCCCTTTCTCTCTCACTCAGTGCTTAAGTTTTATTTGCATGCATTTTTTGCTTACTGTGCAGTGCCTGAAACTGTCTTTTCCAACCTGATCCTAACTAATCCTTACACTTTTGAATGTTGCTGGAAAATCTAGTTATCTGAACAAAATGGTAGATATAAATAAAGTTTGCTTGAATAAATTCTAACTATTCTCATTACCCTCATCATGTGGTCATGATCCCCACGCCCCAAAACTGCAGGGTCCTGATTGAATGAGGTACTTATATATGTGCTTTGTATGAACCACTGGATTGTGCATATACTTAATTTTAAGCATGTGCTTAAATGTCTTGCCTAGTTACAAACAGCCCCTCAAAAGTCCACAATAAATTAATTTTTAAAAATGTAGTTACTTCCAGGGAATCACGGTGTCAGGAGCAAAATAAAATAACTCCCACACACGTTACTAAAAACCTGTTTTAGCTCATTTTTGAAAGTGCTGAACAGATGTTTAATGTAAACTTCTCCTTCAGTCACACTAGTATGTTTATTTTAACCATCAAAAGTATTCCTCTAAGTTTGTATGCAACTATCTACACACTACTCTGCTTTTGGAAAAAAAATGTACTGATGACTTAAGTTCCTAAGTTTGTATAATTCACATTCACTTTCTACTGATTTTAAATGTCAGCTTGTTCTTAAATATGTATTACTGCTCCTTTCTTTCTGGGACCACAAATTTAAACACACCTACAGCTGGTTTTAAAACCCCATATATCATTTCATATTGTTTGGCATGATAGGCACCCAGTGATAAGATGAAGGACACAAAAAGGACTAGCATAGGGACCACATCATCTCTCACTCTATTAGAGGATGGACCTGCTCAAGTTAGGGTGGAGGTCACTGACAGTGCAGCGCAAAGAAGCTTTGTTTGGTTGCTTCCATTACATGATCCATACATATACCAAGTAGGTCATTTTCAAGCACTGCCAACTCTTTGACCTTGGTAAATAAAAACATTCAACACAACTTCTCATAAACCAATGCACTGTCATACATTAGTGCTGTCTACAACAATGGTGAACCCCTTCTATGAAAGGTCACTCTGATTACTGTCAAAATGAGTGCCGGAGATTTGGAGAAAAATGCTGATCAAACAAGTTTATGGCAGTAAAATTTTCAGTTTGATTTTGTAACAAGGAAATATTGTTTTACCAATAATGAAGAAAGGATTTATTGCACAAAGTTCTTTCTTTTGAGTGTTATAAATACTCATATCAAGAGAACTGCCTATTAGTTTAAATAGCTCCCATTGATGCTTTTATGTGCTCCTCTTCCCACATGTTTGAAGAACGTCTGTATTTCACAAAGGCTATATTTTGAAAATAACCTGCATTTATATGAGAACATGCCTTTTTCTTCCTTTCCTTTCTTTCAGCCATTTGCAACCAAGAAGCATGCATGCTGGTATTTGAAAACCAAAATCTAAAAAACACAGGACCACAAACTCAACTAACGTAAACTGGCATCGGTCAATATAGGTATACTGATTTACACCATCTGAGGTTTTAGCCTACTCTCTGGGCAGGCACTGGCAGTTGGTGAAGTTACAGCTTCCTGTGAATGCACTGAGACAGATACACTCTCTATGGTGGGAGAGTAAATTACTGCCTGTGCTACATAAACTCAGTTTGGATTCACTCTTAATGGTATATAAGTAAGGATTGAAAACTGTGCCAGTTTTTTTTATGATGATTAATAGCGTGAAGCACAGTCCTCAAGGAGCTAATTTCCTATTGTGCCATATCATCCAAAGTAGGGGAAAACTACTCATTTGGCCACCTCACACTTCAAACAGGCTTTCAGAATTCTTCCAGATTTCCAAAATTCTTAAGAGAAAAGTACAGAAAGTGCAGTCATTACTTGCAGGTCTTGGTAAACCTAGGTAGTTAAGTAGCTTAAAATTTGGATACTCATCTTTCAAATATCACATTTCAAAGTTGATACTAAAAATATAACCTCTTTTAGCAATCAACAGTACGGCACTATATATCACAGGATATTGTATAGCAAGTCTGTATACACATACACACTTTCACACATATACACTTACATATACTCTTTAGAATGTGACTGTAATGATACAGCATCATATTCTTAAACATGCATATCCAAGTGGTACATAAAAATAATTTTGAAGGGGAGTGAAAAGATTGCTTCACTTCTCAGAGCCAAAATTGATAGCCTTTCCATCGTGTATATAACACCCTCCAGTTAAGTATGTTAAAAAGAATGCTGCAGATGAAGCACTGAAAAACAGGTATATTTCACAATGGTACTGTTTATTATCTTTTACTTATTTATACATCCACACCCCAACTGCTATCATAACCACTTATACATATAATCGATGCATAATAAAATATGCATATATGTATAATCAATTACTGAAGTGAAAACTTACATCTCTTGCATACAAAAAAACTGCTTTTCCTGACTACTGACGTCTAATTATTTTGTATTTTATTATTTTAGCTCATAGACAAGATAGTTTATATCTTACCTTTGTGAAAATGTTAGTGATATAAATCTATGCCATCTGTTCCCAAACGATTAATTAGATCTGTTTCTATAAACAGTGTAATTATTCACCAAAACACCATCATATCAGAAGTTTACTACATTACTCATCTATATTATTAATCACACCAAATTTTGCATATAAACTCGTAAGCCCAAAAGTTAAATGACTTCTGCAAATCACATTTTGGGTTTTAAAGTCCTAAAATCTGCAGTGCTTTCAAGTTACAAATGCTTTGCACTCGACAGCGAACATTTGGCATTCCAGGTGTTTAACTATAATATATTTAAAAGTTAAATCTATATTAACAATAATGTAAATGTGTGTTCAAGAAATGTTACACAGATAGGTTTTGTTTAAATGTTGACATATATTCTCCTAAAGGCCTACTAAAACAGATACTGCAGCTTAATGTAACTTTTTTAGATGTAGTGTAGGGTTGGAAATAATTAAAATGTTACCTTTGCCAAGTAATTCCCAATGTATCCTCACTGGCACTGGGGTATAAATGCCTGCCGTTTTGATTCATGGTCCAGTCACAAATCCTCAGCTGTCAATTGAAACCTAGCAGTCAGATATGGATCGAGCAGTACTACAGTTTTTAGTATTTAAATGAATACATGCAAACTAGTATTGTACATGGCAAAAAGCCTTACTTTCCCAAGAAGTAACTTAAAAAAGCTTATTCTGAAAAGTAAAATTTCTACAGTTTCTTTAAATTAAAAAATGATACTTTGATATGCTCCCCTATTAATAAAGCATAAAAGAGTAACTAGTGTTTAGCACATAACAATTAGCCATTATTAGATTAAAATTGAGCTGGAATAAAAGAAAAATGTTAATGTTCAATAGTGAAATATTTTAAGAAAGAAAATCAAAATGCTGTATTGTATATGCAATATACTAAGTAATCTGTACTAAGGAAAGGTCAAATATAATCAATATAATGAAGCATGCATTTGGTGAAACATAGAAGACATGCAATTTATAGACTATTTCCCCAAATTACCCAAAATATGTGTCCTTATCTTACTATTTTAGAAGGGTAAAGGTATTTTGTAACTGAGATTTATTAATTTAGTGTTACTGAAAGTGGTATTATTTAGCAAGAGGTGATAAAATAATCTAATCTTGTTCTAGACTCAAAAATAGTATTTAAAATACCTTATTACATTTAAATGGGTCATATTTACATATAGTGAGGAATGCACTAAATGTAAGCTGAAACAAATTCTTCCCAGATCCCCAAATCATCAATTCTGCCCTTCACAGTTTGTCCATGTAACCCTATACAGCTCTGTTTGTTTAACAGCTGCCCTACAGTGCTAGCAGATTTATTGAAAAGATATACTGCTTATTTTTATGTTAAAGAACATAAACATATCTGCCTTGTGAAGAAAGCATAAAAAAGCATAGTTCTAACCTCTGTATAGTCATGCTGTATGTAAATTACTATACATCTTCTATGATATAGCACTTTGAATTAAAGATATTTTAATCACTGAGATGAATTCCATAAAATGCACTTTGTTTTCCTCATGCAAATTTAAAGTGCCTCCAAATGCTTCAGGCTATGGTAAACAAACTAAAAGAAATTACTTTCACAGTAGCACAATTAATTACAGTCCCTTCCTGACAAATACATATGCTAAGGACAAGACAATATTGCTATCTTGACCCCGTCTGACTGTTACACTCATAAGCTTCCTGCTGTTGAGGTTTGAGAAATGGAAATGTTAGTCTCTGATGTTTTCATAAGGGTTGCTTCTTGTTTGTTATCTAAAGAACTCTAAGAGACCTTTTTAAAGGCCATTAAAAGCATGACTAAACTACATGAAATTAACCAGAAAAGGAAACATTCAGTCAAAAAAGCTTGCTAGAGTGCAACTGTAAAGAATGTGTTAAGTATGCTCAAAATGTAGAAGAATGCGTGTGCATCTTTTTTAAATCACTGCATGAAGCTGTACCATAAGCCGTATTTTTATGCAACAGGCAGCATTCCATAGCAGTATTTTTATTCTATATGTAAAATATATGTCATTACTCTAGTCAGTAGTCTAGTGGTTCTATTTCTGCTGCAATCCTTAAGAATGTGTCAGCATTTTTCATTAAAAAAGCATATTTTGAGGGCTTATACTTGGTTATAAAATTTCACTTTCAGCTGAACAACGATGTCAAGTTTTAAATATGGAAACAATTACAACATTTAAAAAATCAACAAACAAACAAAAATCTTTGGCTGGTTATAAACAAAAGAATGCCAAAACCAAAACTTATTGTTACTGGATGATTTTATGTACTTGTCTAACTAAAAAATCTGGCAAGCAATTAGTCTGCAATAGAAGCTGATTGTTTTTTGTATTTGGGAAACCAGTAAGTGGCTGATACATTACAGTTTAATAAATCAGCTACTGTACATAAATAGTAATTTTCCTCCTACTGTGTTCAGAAGAATTTTTAATATGAACAACTAAGATCCTAAATGTATAGTTACACACATACTGAAAGAACTATTCCAAACTAATTTGTTAATATTAACACTCTTTATACAATACACACCCACACACATATGCACTTATACCTATTGTAACTATAATATAGCAACATTTTTCTATAAGCTCTAAACACATTTATATATGCACGTATATAAAGGTGCATACTGAACCAAATCCTCCATTGATATAAATTAGTAGAGTGTCATTTACATGGTTCCCTATGCATAAACATGAAATATGTGGAAGTGAGACACCTGTGATAGACTGAAGAAACGTGATCCATAATTCTATCACACAGTCTAGGACTGCGTATATTAAATGGCTTTTCTAGGCCTTATGTCTAATGTTCTAATCTCCTGAGCAGCTTCAAAGGGCTGAAACTCTGTTTTCAAGGTCAGCCTACCAGAAACGTGGTTGTGTTTCTCAGTGGTATTTCCTCTTCAAAAAGACCTGTTAGAGAACAGTTTGGCCACTATTTAGTGCTTTGCCACAAAGACACACAGGCCCTTGGCAGACATGCAATTAAAGGCGTAATGGGATATGATGCACGATCCCCACAATCGAACTTTCTGCCATTGCCATGCACATGGCAGGAAGCACTATTGTGGGATCAAGCATCAGATCCCATCACACCTTATTGCCAGTGCAGGGGAGCCTGGAATCCTGATCGCAATGCTGATCCTCCCTCTGCACTGGCAAATAAGCTGCCATGGTTGGGAGTGTCATCAGCTGATCCAGGTTCCCAAGCACAGAGGCATATTCTGAGCTTCCATGGCTGGCAGCCCAGCTAGAAATCCTAGCCTGGTCTCACATTCAATTAATGGAGTGATGGGAACCAGCCACAAAGTTATTATACATATTTTGTGTAATAGCTTATGATTTATTCCTTGTTTTATCGCATCATTAACTGCATTAACGTGTGGCTGGGTAACTACTTAATATGTGATTACATGGTATCTTAAGTGTAACATGTGCCAGGGTATCACTCTCAAATTTGGTAATTTTCATGCATACAAACTTTAAAATAGCTTAGCTCCTTCATGCTGGGTGAAGAAGTAAAAGTGTAAAGAGGTCTTCAAGGCACAAGTTCTTTGTGGGGAAAGATTCCTACACCATAGGAAATGCTGTAAGGCTGCCCTTAAGGACCCCTCTGCAAGCCCAAGATATATACCAATAGTAAAGGGACATTCTGGGCAAGGACATACTTCTGCTGCTCTGGAGATTCTGAGATGTGCTGAAGCTCACTGGATCCCCCCCCCCGGGCTTTTTAAATTGACACTGGAGGGGCCAGAATGAAGACGTTGCAAAAGAGATTAATTGTAATGCTATTTTATATTCTTTTCTCCCTTGGGCTGTGTGTTCTGTACTGTGCTTCCAATAGAATCACTCCAGAATCTTATCTGGGAACTTTAAATCATTGCAAATAGAAGATTCCCAGCTTTTGTAATGGGGAACACAATACTTATTTAAATCTTTGAAAAGACCTGGCACACTGGAAGTTAATATTTTAACTAGATTCTTTTGATGGTGCCAACAGTCCCCAGTGCAATTTAGACCCAGACACAAATGCCACCGTGTTAAGTGGGGAATCAAAGCTCAGCACCTGCACCCTGTACATTCTCACCTCTGGTGTGACATCTTAAAAAGCCTCTCTATGGAGAAGGGGGAGCATCAGAAAACTACATGCATATGCCAACTGAGGATTTTTGCTTGTCAGATGCTCCATTAGAACACATCTTACGTTGCTTTGTGTGGCTGAGGTTGCACAAAGCAACCCTATCCTAGCTAAAGATTTGACCCATCAGCTTGAATATTTTTCTATGTCTACACTAGATTCATAGTAACTAAAGTATTTGGGTTTTCAGGCAAATGAACTGAAGAAACAGTCCCAACCAAATGTTTACAAGCTTTCCAAAATATTGCTATGACAGGTTTTTCTTGTTAAAGTATGATCCAGACATGGAAATATGATCATGAGACACAGGAGAAAGACTATATCAGCAATCATTTAGGATGACACATATGAGTCTTTACCACTGTGAGCAAAGCATTCCCTACAAATTCTCTGAAAATAAAGCCTTTATGCCACACAAAACCATCTCCCAACATCACAAACAGTAGGGATAAGGCAAATTATCCTCAGGAGAAAAAGAAGTCCTTTCACTGGGCCAAATTCTAGGTTGCCAGGAACCACGTGTGCCCAAATCAGAGTAGGACAGCCTTAATGTGCCTACCTACTAATGGCCTTTGAGGCTTTGCAACTGCTCCCTAGGAAGAGGCACAGAACCTACAGAGAGGACTTGCTGCACTAGGGGTATTCCTCAAGTAGACCACGCAACTGCTTGGCAGTCCCATTATGCCAGTGCAAAGGGGCCACAGGCCACTGAACTGGACAGAGGGATGGACTGCATTTCAGGAGATCTGAGTTCAATTACCTCTGCCACAGGTCTGCTGGGTAACTATGGGCAAATCATAATTTTTCTTCTTCGTGCTTCTGTTTTCCCATTCATAAAAGGATGAAAATGATATCAACCTCCTTATATGTTTTGAAATCTATTAGTGCTAAAAGCTTGCTATTTTTATAATTATCTCTTCAATTTAAGTTGGACACCTTAGGAGCACAACTGCCTTGCAGTTTAGCTATGCAATGTCCATTGTCACAGCTACCAGCCTACTGTCTAGTATTTTAAATAATGCTAAGGGTTAATATTTTAGTTGGCTTTATATGTTCAAATTTTACCAGAGTTGCTAGCTGAGAATAATCTTCATTTCATGTCTCTTTGATTACTAGTAAAGGTAAATATACATTTGGAAAAGGGAGTGAGTAATAGGAGACCATGCTATGACTTTTGTTATTTGAGAAATGCCCATAAAGCTAAACATTTGCATACTGTCATTGTTTTGACTGAAACTTCCTTTAAATGTGTTTCCTTTCCAGCAAGCATATGTGAAAGGTGACCTCTTATCCATTTACATACCTCCCTGGCAGTCACATGACCAAGTTTTACGTCAAACTGTCAATTATGATAAGAGACACAATAAGAACAGCCTAAGT